CTGATGATGTCATTACAGAGGATTCCCTGCATGGTCACAGGGCTGCCTGAGGATTCAACCAAAGTAAACTTGGCAACCAAGGTAAAATGGAGATTACCCGCCCAGTCACACAATCAGAAATATGTAGGTGCTCATGTAAAGTGCCCAATTTTATTCAAAATGGAAATGTGTTGATTAGTTTCAGCACAGCTCATAAATATAAAATTTTATGAAAAACCATTCAGCTGTCTCAAGCTGTTACGTGAGGACAGAGGACGCAGACATAGCAAAGCTAATAGTCACAATTCTGCAAATATTCATTGCAAATGTGCATAAAAATGTATGGAATAACTTTACAAAATGATTACCATGTATATGAGGCTTTCATCTGCATATTCGCACATGAAAACAACTGAGACCGAAGTTCAAGAAAAGTTTTGTGTTTCACTTGTGCTAATCCCAACCCCAACACAAAGTAAAATGAAGTGAAGCAAAGTAAATTAAAGAAACCTAACCCTACATAACTCAACACGTTACCAAATTTTGAATACTCATATGCTTCAGAAATATGAAAATATCTGAATCAGTTATACAAAAATGTCGAGATTAAAGAAAAAGTATATTTTTAAATATTTCTGCTGTAACTAGTACATATGCGTATTACTGAAAGGTAAAATTATGCAAAATATTTTGCAAGCAAAAAAGTCAAGTATAGGTCACTGTACTGTAAAATTCTACTGAAATGAATAGTAAGATGATGAATAAATTAAATGCAGCATAACCCACACATGGATTACCTGCAACAGCTGCAGAACGCGAGTCCTCTTCTCCTGTATGAGGTTAGAATCGAGGAGTCTACTGAGGATGGGTACAAATCTATAGGTATGAACGAGAGCACGGCGGGCAACTGGGTTGTGACAAGCATGCTGCAGAACTCCAATGGCACACCACAGAAGCCCTGACTTGGGTTCCAGAGCAGACATAAGCTCATGTAGACTAACATAGAACTCAGCAGCAACACCATTCCCAGGATCAAAGACACTCATGTCTGAAGTCACTCCCAAAATCTACAACAAAACATTAAAAACATTTGTCTGAATCATCACACTATAAAATACTATCAGGATAATGAATAACAACATGTACCCATAAGCAGAACAAAATGTTAATATTAAATAATTTGTTTTGCATATTTTACAGTGGATGATTTGATAACTAAACAGACTTTGATACATGTATATTTCATATTATTATTAACATATTTAAAGAGAAAACATGTAAGTTTTAGTTATTGCTACAGCATTCCACAAAATTCACATTACCGCATTAACTAGTCCAATTACGAAATCCAATTTATGAAGACAAAATAAATATTACTCTCTGCACCACATAATTAACTACCTCAGTCTCCCCTCTCACCATCTCAACAAACTATTTGTAGTCTGAATATTGCTGTCTTCCGGGTTGTTGCGCCATGTAGTCTGGTAGATGTCCATCATTTCAGAGGTCAAGCTGCCTCCATAATCAGGGTGATTAATGTCATAGTTCCAATTTAATACTTTCTTCTTATAAGTCATAAGGCATGTAACTGATCAGGTCCACTGGCTGCAACTGCAGCATATGTTTTGGATAAAATGCTCAATTGATCTCCTAGTGACTGTATCCATTTTGCCTGAAGGACCTCACCAGTTTCTCCATTTCACCCCCAAGGCTTTCAGCTTCGCAGATGTTTCTTGAACACTGGACAGGTGTGGTCAGCACTGCCTTCTTTTGAGCCAGGTGATGTTCAAACGTTGCATGGCGGTACAGGTCTGTGTGTGAGGGTTTTCTATACACTGTACTCCAAGTGAACCATCCAGTTTCCTGCTTACTCGGATGTCCAGGAAGAGACATGACCAGTTTTGTTACATTTCCATCATAAACTTGACATTAGGATGGATGCTGTTTACATGTTGTAAAAAGCCCTGGTGCTCTTCCTTTACATGAGACCATACTACAAATATGTCATCCATGTACCAGTACCAATAGCTTAGCTTCTTCACAGCAAAGCCTAATGCTCACTATTCAAAGTATTCCACAAAGAAATTGGCTATTATAGGGGCAAGGGGTGATCCCATGGTGACACCTTCTGATTGGGCATAGAATGTTCCATCATAAAGAAAATACATGGTGGCGATGACCTGTTTGATGAGAGCAATGTTGTGATTGCAAACATGCTCTGACAGCAGCTTTAAGGGTATCCTCCAGTGGCACTTCGGTGAACAATGATACTATGTCAAAGAACACAAGAATGTTCATTTCTTGCAGGTTGATGGTGTGCAGTTTCTCAACAAATGCTTTGGAGTTTATGATGTGGTGAGTTGAGAGCCCAAGAAATGGGCACAGTAGACCTTCGAGATACTTGGCCAGTGGATAGGTGGGTGAGGTGACATAATTTACTGTAGGTCTCAGTGGTATGGTGGTCCTGTGAATCTTGGGAAGACCACACAATCTAGCAGAAACTGAAGCATGAGGTAATTGTCTGTTGGCAACATCTGCTGGAAAGTCTGACTTCTTTATGAGGATCACTGTTTGACTGCTTCTCTCGGTTCTGTTAGCAGGGTCCAATGTCAGCTTCCTACAGATGGGATTACTTAGCACAATCTTTATTTTGACATGGTAGTCAGTTCTCAATAACACAACAGTCATGTTGCTTTTATCTATGCGAATAATCACAATGTCCTTGTCACTCATAGGGCTGGTAATGCATCTCGCTCTGCTTTTGTGATATTCCTTTTCCACTGGTTAGAATGTCGTAAGATTCGACTGGTCTCCTGCTATATCTCCCCTGCAGCTTCCATCCGGAGATACTGGATTGCTCATTCTACACCCCTAACAACATCTTTAAAATTAAACCAGATTTCTTGTGTGGGGAAAAAGTAACAGGATACATGGATCACCTTGTAAAAGAAGCAATAGAGATCCACCTGCAACTTCAACAGGGATGAAGGTTTCCCTTTGAACTAAGCTTGGTACCTTGTAACAAATTTGCTCAAGCAGCACACCAAAGAACCAATAAGAAAGAAAGGCCAAACATCACAAATGCTTGAATCTACCCACAAGCTCTGACTGGCCTGGGTCCAGCCATGAGCATTGGTCCTGGAAGGTTCATACAAGAGACGGTCGGGCCAGAACCCTGATGACAGGGATAAAGATGGTTCCCAAAGAGTCAGTTTCTTCCTATATCCAACTGATGTGGATGATTGCTTGAGAGGATTTCATCGATAAAGTCATTTTAAATTAAATACAACTACAGGGCAGTCATAAATTATTATTTAGGACCTAGACGCAGAACTTAATTTAAACATCAAGCATCAAAAAGGCAGGAAAGGGAACAAAAACAAGACCTGGAATACAACATGATGCCTACAAGTAGTTTCAAAGTTATGCCTGACATCAAAAATAAAATGCACATAAAAAGGGTTCATATGAATTCATACTCTTTCAGAGACACATGAAGTCATATGTTGCAAAAAATATCAAATTATATTTCTAGAACAATTTAAAAACAATGACATTCACATCAACACCAACAAAAGACGGCATGTAATTCACAACTGAATATACTTGCAAGACATTATTCCACCTGATGAGATCCTGAATACATGTATTGAGTTCTTAACCTGCAGATGCCGTTGGAGGGAACTGGATGTCTTTTCAGTGTGATGTCTGGAGTACTCCAAAGCACTTCCTATAAAGGCTTTCATGTTCTGATACTTCTCCATGATGCACATGTGTAATCATCCACTCTAGAAAAAATAAAACACTGGGAATATTTTTTTAATGTCATGTAAGAAAATATGTACTCAACAAATTCAGTATTCTCACGCAGGAGTTTCAAAATATAATACACATGGTATGTGACACTGACTGTATCAGTACTAAGCATAAACATCTGCCTTTAAGAACCCTGCAAAAGAAGCACAGGTATCAAATGAGACAGCATGGTTATAAAGCAAACTGATTTCAACAAAACCCTGCTCCAATGCAGCTGTTACTTTTAATGAGGCTGAATTAATACTTTAACATGAACATCTGATCACTACCACCGTTAGAAACCGAACAGCAGAAATGCAGGGCATTAAAATAGCTCTGACAAGGAGATCACATCTATCTAGGACTCCTCGTGGAGATATGTATTCTAAAATGTTGGTAACCACACACAAAACTTCACAGTGTCACAACCCAGAAGATTACAGTTTTACTGGCATCTTTACCATAATACGAGGCGCGTCCCAAAAGTAAGTTTCCCACTCGTCCCACAGCTAGCAAACCGGACAGCGAGTCTCCTGCAGGAGTTCAGCTGGGAGGTGTTTGATCATTCACCCTACAGCCCGGACCTCGCTCCCAGTCATTTCCATCTTTTCCTACACCTCAAGAAATTCCTGTCCTGTCAGCGTCAGCGTTTTGAGAATGACAGAGAGGCGGAGATGGTTGTCACACAGTGGTTCCAATCCCAGGCGGGCGACTTCTACGACACAGGTATTCAAAAGTTGGTCCTACGGTATGACAAATGTCTCAATTCCGGTGGCGAATATGTTGAAAAATAGCTGGACACTTGCTGTATCTGTTGCAATAAATATTTCCATGAAATTGTGTTTTGTTTCTGTAAACGGCCCCAGGGAAACTTACTTTAAGGACGAGCCTCGTATCAGTTAGGAATACTTTATCTGTGAGAGATAGTATATAAATTTCATTGTTAAAATTACAGAGAATCCAATAGAGAAGGTGCCTGTCCCACATTCTTATATGAAGACATACAACATCTTCCTCCAAAATGTTATGACTTCTTAACGTAGGATTTTTATAGAATTTTTAAAAAAGGTGATGGATGAAGTCCAGAACAAAGAAGGTAAAAATAAAATTCAGAAAGGAAGAAGAAGCATGTTTCATAAAATGATCCCTTGCACTTCCAGACAGCAAAAGGCTACTAAGACAGTGTATTCCCACACTTATACTTACTTGACTTACGATAGAAACATTCTGGAGTGTCTCATGACAATAATAAGATATCTGTATAAGAATCATGGTTGATGCTCAGAAAGGAAAACCAAGCAGAAAACTGTTTAAGAAGTACCATATACTATCTCTAGCCCTAACAACAGCTGCAACTCACAATTTACAAATGTTTCACATAAATCACAGACCAATTGCTAATTTTAGTCAAAAAGGAGTCAGCTATGGTAAGATAAAACTACTGTACAACAATATCACCCTCAAAATTACATGTTCCTATACAAATAGTAAACAATTTAAAATATTAATTTTGATTCACACCTTCTACTCTGTTGATGAATTGATATTATTAAAAAAACCAGTAACACACTGCATTCACACATCTCACTGCAAATTTTGCACATATATAACCTGTGTGCTGTTATATATAGGCAGTAACTAAGTGTGCAGAATGTATGTGTATTACTTTACCCAGTATATTAATTTGATAAAAAAACATATATTGAAAGTACAATTTTACTTTTAATATATTCTCCTTCTCTACACTTACCTGTACTATATAAATGCCAATGAGTTATAAAGTGTAATTATGCGAAATATAAACTGTACTACATAGTTCTTGGTATACCCTTATCTTTCTGTGCCTATTGTACTTCTCGGTACTTCCTGAATGTCGCATATTCCACTGTAATTTGTTCAAACTATTGTTAAGCAGGATTTGAGGTTTCCACGGCGGTGTGTCTAAAGATTGCTGTCTTCTGGGTTGTTGTGCCGTGTAGTCTGGTAGAAGTTTACCTCTGAAATGTCGGTAAACGTCTACCCGACTACACGGCGCAGCAACCCAGAAGACAACAATCATCATATTGTTAAGTACTACCTATTACATAGTTCTAAATCTATCTATCTATGTAATGTATCCAAAAGTCCTGCAACAAAACTACGCTTAAAAACTGGTCATGAAATACGGTATTCGGTTTATATACACTAATGGCTGGAGTGGTATATTATAAGTTAGAATTAAGGACATTCCTCACACGAAACCTTACGCAAATTCTGCAAGATATTCAGACGAATGATCCCTCAGCGCACAGCATAAATTAATCTTCCTTAAAGTAAAAGTTTTCGGAATCTTACCACTGCATTTAACCATAGACATTTATTCCGCCTTTTACACGGCCTTCGGATTTCAGCTAACCACTATGCCACGAATGCCAACACAATTCCATACATTTTACTTTGCTAATTACAAAATATCTCCTTAGCTGAAATCAGAGGAAAGTAAAATGTACTAAAGGTAAGCAACAAACGTTGTCATACACAAGCTAGTAAAGTATATTCCGTACCGGAATTCACATAATACATACATGCGTTCTTTGCAACTTGCATTTAAAATTCCCGTAGATTGATAGTTCACCGCTTGGCCACCAGATTCCACCACCTCAATATATGCCTTGAGAATATCTCAATTGTTAATGAAGGTTTCTGTATTTTGGGTTGTTGCGCCATATAGTCTGGTAGAAAGGAAGGACCGCTGAGACGTCTGTAAACTTCTGCCAAATTACACGGCACAACAACCCAGAAGACAGCAATCTTCAGGTTATTTACCTATTTGTGACCTGACCACTAGGACTGTATTACTCTACCCGATGTAACAAATTCCGTCATAATGACCTGCTACATTAATCAAGTAAGACTGAAGTGCAAGCTCATTCCAACAACTACCATTCTAAGGAACTAGGCAGTTACTGGTGGCAACAGACTCTCATGTTAAAACGTAAAGCACATAGATCTTGACTAGATTGTCACTAGTCATCTTATACACTATGCCATAACAAAGTCAGCAGTGGTCATTCACCATTGATATTCATAGCAGAAGGTAAAAGCATCATTCCCCTAATACTATGGTGGTCACTGATATATGGCTCTTCACTAGATTGGTAATATGGCATTTCACAATGGAAACCAACCACGATTAGAAACAGCGACAATGGTTAAAGCAGACTGCAATTACTGTACTTGGGTAAAATATAACTGCTCTTAGATACTGCTCCCACATCATGATGTAGCCCAGTCTTTTAGCACCTACTAGCCTTGTGTCACAATTTGTAACAGCTTACGTGCAGACCAGCTAGGTGACACAGGAGTTACTAAAACAGACCTTTATTTTCAACCAGCCTATAGTTGCTATGACACTGGAATTCTGCCCACTGCTTGATTTGTTAATTACTTATCTTGCTCCTAGTAAGTAATGTGCAGGACAACCATCATGTTGAAACAATACGGGCAGACGAGTTTGCAATGGTAGATATTCAAGAGGAGAGCCAGTCTTAAATAAAAAAAAAAGCTGTTTTATGCCCTGATATCAAGCAATAACATATGGTCCAGTTATCACCAGTAACAGTGCACCAGACACTTACTCCCCATTGCCACTGATAATCAACTTGGCAAAGCCAACAAGGATTTTCTAGACCAATAATGCATGTTCCTCCAACTGACTTTCCCATATCTTGTGTATCAGTCAATAAACATTTTGAAACAAAAAATTATTCGGCAACTGCTGAAGTCATTTCCACACAGCTCTAAATGAAATAAGTTGTATGGATGAAATGTGCGGTGATAAATGATTTGCACAACACTTGCATGACTGCTTCTAGAACCATATGTAATTTTTCATGTCCTAGCATGTGGAATGTTTGCTACAGCTGCCAGGACAGCAACTTAGCTTGCTTTGTCCATCACTGGTTTAATACGTTCATGTGTTTCTGGATTCCAGCTTTATTTCTGACAGCTTCTCACAGATATTTTCAACTGTGCAAGCTGAAGGATAATTTTGATTCAGATATTTTTCATGGTACTAATGCTGCACGGTCACTGCAAACAACTCACCTTGAAGCTCAACACCCATGCAGCATTGACCAGCTGGGGTACCAATCATGTGGAAGTTCTGTCAAGGAGAAACAAGTGACCATAACATTTTAGTGCTCACAACAGACAAGTTAAATTCTAAATCAGAATTCCTTTACAATGTGGGAAAGATAACATTTTCTGTCATCTACATGCCGTACATTTTGATTCACAAGCATATAGGTAATATTTTGTTTTGTTTATGAATGTAAATAAATACACAGTTTCTTTCAAAATTATTCATGCTTAAAACCATGAAACATTTCTTTAAAGATGGGAAGGAAGTTCTTTTTTTGTGCCCAGTGGAAAGTTATTATCAGATACAATTTCAAAGTTAATATTTATTTGCCAATAATATGCAGTCTGATTTAAACTGTACCATCAATCAGCAATTCACTAAAATGTTTGTCATTCACTGTCATTAACAATATTGTTATCATCACCATTATACATTATTCTCACTTTCATTGTGAGTATCACTGATTGATCATGATATACACATTCCCATTTCAGTAACTTTAATACTTGCCTCCATAATTTCTGGAGAAATTAAGTGCACTGCTGCAAGGAACAATTCACACACTGTCAGTAATGGCAAGTGGTTCATTCAACTGCTAGGCCTCAGTTCATGCTTGTCATCCACTGGTTACAGAGCCACCAGAATGTGGCCTTGAATGGCTGATTAATGACAACATCCAAGGTTACAAACGCTTGGTCATCTCACCAGAAATTACAAGATTAGAATTCTCACTAACTTTTACTTTCACCCTTTCTGTTATACGTCCATGAAATTTATGTAAAACTAAATGGTGTGCTTGCATAACAAAGAGTCCAGCCACCGTCTTCACACCAAGTTCAGCCATTTGAGGATGAGCTCCTCAGTCATCCACCTCCTTTCTTCAACGCTTACAATAATTCCTAGGAGTCATGTATCTTTGGGAGAGTTACTTTTAATTACCAATAGTGGCTGATGACAACTTGTGACCATCAGCAGTGATTGCCAACATGACGGTGTGCCTGCTTATCCACACCTGTCATTCTAATTTGAACTGACATTTCACCAACATGTTCATTAGAAGTAAATTCTGGTGTGCAGAACCACATTGGAGTCTGATCACCATTTCCAATTTTAGAAAGAGCTGTGTTTCTTTCTTAATGACAACACAAATTTCTGAAAATTAGTTTTTCTTCTTACGCTTCAGGTAGTTCTTTAGAAATTGCAGTCCTCCTATGAACTGAAAGCTACCAACGATTCAAGAACTGTCAAACCCACCTGTAGTGAGTTGAATTCAGTAACAGGAATATTGAATTTCTGTGCTATTTTAGGAGCTTCCAACTACAGCATATCAGCAGAAACCAGACTTCATCAAGTCCATGAAATAAGCATAGAGTTCACAGCTCCTATGTATTTTAGCTTTGCTTACCATGAAATGCCCACTTACTTTTTCAATCATCAGCAACATTAGTTAGAAATTATTTTATAATAATTATTATGACATAAACACATTTTTATGTCATTTTACATAACCCCCATTTAGTGAAAATACTGATTTACTATAAGTAAAGCTATTCTCCCAGAAATTCATTAACTAGGGATTTTGTTGGAATTTATATACAAGAAGTACATTACCCATACAAATAAAGAATCAGATCTATATCACAATTTGGAGTTTATATCTGCTATGCAGTCAGTCAACATGAAACACACATATGCATTTATATGCCAGATTTTGAAGTCTAACCATGTGATCCTAGGATGCATGGAGTGCACATATTCATAATTTTTCTTATAAATTAAAGCTCAATAAAACATCTCAAAAGTTGGTCTTGTATTTCTTCAGTTCAACCATAATGTGATGAATATTAGTGAGCTGCGATCGTGCATTAGGCGGCAACAGTTTGTGAAAACGGTGATAATATTGCACCAACTGAGTCAGCGCCAGCTGCAAAAGTGTGGATCCTGTTACTAGGCTGGGGAATGACGACAGGATTTCCCGATTCAACTCCGCCAGTGATCGCTTCCACCCTGCAGAGAAAGACTGCACCAGACCCAATGCCTTTCCTGCAACATCAGTCAGAGGTATAAGAGGTCAGAACCCAATGCCAGCAGTTGGCTTGTCCTACGGCAGGAGCAGCCGGAAAAGAATAAGGAAGATCATCCATCCTATTCAGTACATATACAAAAAGGCACAAAAGTTATAGTGTTAGAAAACAGATTTGCCTTTTGAGGACTCCATACATCAGTAACTGCAGATTTGCAACATCCAGATACAGATTAATTGACACTTTAAGCCTGGTCATTTTATCACTACTATCCACCTCAGTCAGCCAAGATGCCGATGGTTACAGCAGTAAAATCTCAACTTTAAAAAATCACCTTAAAATAACCAGATTGAACATGAACTTTGCAGTGTTCAATAGCTCAATGTTTCTAGTATTAGTTATCAGTGCTAGAGACCTATAACTTGAATCACTGTGACGTTATGCCATCTCAACGCTTGCTACTCAAGACGTAATTCCTTCTTGTATGGACTGTGTGTTTGTGTTCTATCACAACCAAGGCCAAGGGAGTGGGCAATGGAATGATTGTGCATCCATGTCTAAATACAAATGTTTACAGTTTGATATTGATACAAGACAAAAATAAACCAGATCAGAGCATGAGCAAAGTTAATAATTTGAGACCAAAAACTAGGAAAACTGATGACAGTACAATATCTAAATTAGTGCAGCAGGTAGATTGGTGGGCAGAGGCCACTTTGCCAACCACGATGTCTACAACAGGACCGAGATCAGAAGGCAGGGCCCAATATATGTGAAAAATGTTTGTGGACAGGGGGAAACATATTGCAAAGGCACTGAAGAAACTTTCTACTTTGATGACAAAAGACTGAATTTTGGGGGATGTTTTGAGATTTCTCACACAAAGGCAAGTTACTGGGAATAATGCTGCAAAACAGTGAAAAACCCATACCTGAAGTGATGAAATCCCTTTTCTGTGGTAAACTACTTTACGTATCATATGAAGGCTAAAATTGCGACAGTAGTGTTATGATTTACAGCAATGAAATCTTTGGAAAGGCACATCATTTATTCCTGAATATTGCTGTAATACTCACAAATAGGGTCAGGTATGAACAAATACTTTCCGTGTACAAAACACACAACAATAATATTTCTGTCATGCCCTTTGATCTTCCTGAAATAATTAAAACATCCAGCACACAGTCTCTGGATATTTAATCATCACCTGGGCTCAAAATGTTAAATTGCATTGTTTCAATTCAGTGAAATGGAATGAGTATCAAAGCACTTACTTTCAAGACGTTTCAATTCATCTGTTTGGCCTTTTTCAACGAGAGCTTCGCCCTCTTTCACAAAGTGCAGAATACCACCAAAGTGAGGTGACAGAATCTCTTCCACATACTCTGCGCTTCGGGTATTCAACTGTTCACGGAAATTCTCTGCCTCTTTTGAGTTGTCTCGTGTACGCTCCTGCACACAAGCACAAGAAAAAAGACTACGTCAAAAATTTGAAACTCTTGATCTTTTGCATCAAAATTTGTAGTGCTTATTTTGTTTAACACTAAAGCAAAAATCAACGTGAATACACGCCAACTCTGGAAATGCGAGAGAGACTTCTAAAATTTGGATCTAAGAACTTTTTCCAGAAATGCAGTCTTCCCTGAAAGAGAGGGAAAAAAGTCACATTGCTAGGAGACAATGACAATTCTCATCTCAATGAGAGGATATGTACTGAATCTTGTAATTGCTAGAGTCTCTTACCATAAGAATGCCAAGCACCATGTCATAATTATTGATGAGGAAAATAAGTTGTTCCTTGCGCTGTGGAAAGACTGCAGCCATGCGTAAGATGAAGCACTCCACTTCCTCTTGCAGTTCTGCCAACAGCCGGTTCACTAATTCTGAAGGAAAGCTCTCACTTATCCCTACAAGAGCTGCGCTGAACTCGGCATATCTCCGCGTGATCTGCGTCATACACACCACATATCACCATGTGGCCTGTGTCATAACCCATCAAAATTAGCATACTTCTGTGTGACCTGTACTTTACACATATCAAACTCAACAAAAAATTGTAAAATGAAAAAAAGACACATGTAACTTTAAACCATTCATCCGTACGCCTCAACTTGTGTGTTGTTACCGCAGCTGCTCAAGCTCCGCTAACATCTCTGCAAACCACGCTACAGCCTGACACTGAAGAAGGCAGGCCTTATCTATTGCGGAACTTCAGCAAGTGGTAATGGAAGATGCAAATGCTGCAATACCCCAAGCATGATCTACCTACAACTTATCATATGAGCTGGGATAGGTCAGTCATCAGAGTGATGGGTTATGTGCTGGATGACTGGAGGCTGATTCCCACTAAAATTACAATACTTCTCTATGCCACTACGATGACAATGACTCTGGTACCCACTCAGCCTTCTACGGACTTGTTACCAGCGGTCTCTACACGGGACTAGAGCATCTCAAGATGACCTTATGAATATGTGGGGGTCTACATCCACACTCATTCAAGGGTGGCACAGGGACAATTCTACCTTTATCATAATGCAACTTACATAGTGTGGCCGCATTTCCTTACTGAATTTTGTTGGGTCACAGTCCTTCACACTCTGTATGTTCAACCTGAAGATGTATTCAAACCTAAAACAGAATAATGCACTGATGATAACAATTCTTCTTTTCTTGTCATTAAAGCAAAACTACATTAAAAACATCTTCCCTTCCTTGGCTCTTCAACCCAGTTGTGGGTCTTCGCTGACTCCTTTCAGAGGTTTCTCAGTCTTTTGAAGCATGCATTTCTGAGTAGTGCCTCTGCACAGTTTCTACTCAATCCTGATTTTTGTCTGCTAGGGTCATCTAGTAGTGAATCAGGAGAGACATGGGAGAGATGCTTACGAAACATCTCATTCATGCTCGTAAGGTTCTTTTAGATGCTGTAAATCTATGACATGGGAACACCGGCTTTACTTCCCCTCCAAAGGAAGTTGTGCTACTGATTTTTATCACTCTTAAAAATCCACCAACCTCGGCTGGGTTTGAACCCACAAACCTTGGGTCCAGTCGCAAGCACGCTAACCACTAGTCCACCGAGGGTGGTGCATTAAATACATACCGTGGCCAAATAAGAGCCTGCAGAGTGTCCCAGTATGAATCGAGAGCTGGTACCGCTCGCTTGTGGCACATCAGTTGGTACCTCAGTATAAGATGTACACACAAGAAGAGTGCAATAGCATCGTAACAATCTTGTACAAATGTCTCCAGATTTTTCTGTATATAAAATGAAATCATATTTTCAAATTGTCAATTATTACCATACAATACACATAATATGTCAATTACATGCTACATGACAGAGAAAAGTTAACTTCTATATTTATAACAGTGATTATATTTCATAAACAGGTGGGTGTTCAATAAGCATAGTCTGTTATTACATACATACATTGTGTTAGATGAGATCAGGTTCGGTTAGGTTAAAGCATGTTCGGTTTTGTTGTTAGGATTGGTGAGATGATGAGATAAGAAAGGTAGGTAACACTGAAGGCCTACTTAAAATGTGATGGTTTCAACAAATCTATTTGCATGGGCTACATGCATTTAGAAGCAAAAATTAGTAAACAACATGTGGGAACTGTGTATTCTGGAATTGTTCACTTTTTTTTGGTGATGATAAAGAAAATGTCATATATTCTTCAATTTATAACCTTCCCTTTGTTGTAAAACATTTCTACAAGAATTAAAAAATAAATGGTACAAATTGATAAAGAATTCTATACTTAATGAAACAACACATACGGACTCACTGGGTCACTGCCAAACATATGGGTATCACAAATACAAACATGACAACAAATCATGCTGATCACAACTGTCCTTTAAAATCTCTCACTCACTGACTGATGCAAGGTTCATTCAGTCAAGTTTAGTACAGTCTTATCAATCTCTCTCAATTCACAGAGGTCCAGAAACAAAACCTTCATAATGATGGCCAGAATACTTGAATCGCTGATGAATGTACATGTAAACAAAACCATAAGACTAGTGCATACTCCAACAGCCAAGGAAAGTCAAGGTGAATCCATGCAAATGGAAGTGGTGGGAAGAGAGGAATCTCCACCACTGCACTATGACACAAAGAAGTTAGCTTTACACACTTCAGTTACCTCTTTGTTAAAAATAATTTCCTTTGTTCTTTTAAGAAGAATTATGACAAATACTGAACTTTCATTTCTTTCACATATGAATTAAAAGTTGTGTTGGATGTTAATGAAAGATGATTAAATACAGCTAAAATGTGTTTTTATCTGAATTTTATATTAAACATTCCTTTTTTTACAGCCTCATGCCCCCCCCCCCATCCACTTGGGGGCACTTCACCCCTGCCACCCGCCCCTCCATCAAAGTTCAGGAATCAGTACTCTGTATGAAGGGTATGTCTGCATAAGATTACAGCCTGCAAGTCTGCTTACTGAGGTAACTGCATCAAGCAAATTCTTTCTTGAGAAGATTACTCAACTCATCTTAAAATTCACTGCCTTTTACAGAACCAGTGATCATGACCCTACTGACAAGAGCCCACTACCACACTAGCCACTATCCACAGCCAGATGAATTCAATCCATACACTCACACCCCATTTCTTTAAGACCTACATTAATTAACACACTCCAGTGTGCAACGAAGTCTTAAAAGTGGTCTCTTCCCTTGAGATTTTCAAGCTAAGATTTTTTATGAATTTCCCTGCTCCTACATATATGTTACATTTCTCGCCATCTCATCCTACTTGATTTTAACACCCTAATAATATATGGAAAAAATAACCAACACTGTGATCGATGACATCCGCACAAAACAACAAAAATGGTTTGGCCACATCCAGAGGATGGATACTCATAGACTGCCTCAAAAAGAAATGCACTGGGTGCACCCGGGAAAAAGAAGAAGACCACGAAGGAGTTGGATGGATGGGATAAAGGAGGCCATGGAAGAAAGAGGTCTAGAAGGTGGACATTGGCTTGAGAAAGAAGAATGGAAAAGGGGAATCTGAGGACATCGACAGACGTTTTAAACCTATATATATATATATGGCAAAGAGCAGAAATTGTAAACTTTTTAAGTGACAAATTATAAAGGTTCTCATTATGCAACTGTTTCCATCTTCTTGTTTCAGCCCCACTCTTGGTCAAAATATTCTCATATGCACATCTGAGTTTTATTATACGCAGTGTATTTAAGAGACAGATCCAACAAAATGTGTGACAGCTCACCAATAGCAGGTTTAGTGTTTTGCTGAGGATCTTACTGAAGAGTTTCTGAGCTTCTAATCCACGCACCATGAAGAATTCCGACAAGAAGAGATACTCCCGGCAAGCGTTGTCTACCAGAGCGTATTGTTCGCTGCGAAACAGTGCTTCAAAAGGGTACTGTAACATAAAGCACAATGTAAGATACTGTTTCCTCTGCACAAAAAGGGAAATTAAACAACTGCACAGAATATTCATACACAGTAACTTAATGATTATCTGAAAGTACATTATCTAATTTGTGAATTAACCTTTCAAGCTGGTAGGCTGAGAGTGAACTTGCAGCTAGAAGCCTCCTTTATCAGCAGTTTCACGAGTATGTTATTGTCATTTGCAGGCAACAAGCAAATTGCCATTGCTGTGTTATCTGTTTGATTTTTGTTGTAATATATGGACCACAAGTCCTTCAAAATTTGCACTTCCCATTTCTTCTATCTGCTTATTCATACATATGACTGCACAAGAATTCTTCCTTTGTTTTTTAATATCAACAATGTATCAACCAAAGAGAACACAGTGTATCCTAGCCTTTTGTGCAGTCTGAATTTGGAAAAACAAAAATTTTACAGAAACTTGTTAACAGAAACATTAGAATCTGAATCAGAGTGATGAAGATGAAAATTGTGTTGTAGTTGGAAAACCCACAGTGAGGAAAGAGAAGGAGATATTGCAAACGACACAGAAGACAAGTTACTGACAAATTTGCTATTGAAATAAACACAATTGCAGAGAGACTGGAAGTGGGAAAAACCTGACAATTCAATAAATCACTTATGTTCAATACGTAAGATGAAGTCCAATCAAAATTAAGGGAGACTGAATTCTAACCTCGGATATATCACACTGTACAGGCATGCAGCTACATATAAAACATAATTATTATGAAATATAAATCAGAACGGCTGGATGTACTGATCTCTGTATCATTACCCAATGATGTTTCCACCACAAAGGGTAGTCTTATAAAAAACCTCTCTCCAATCTTCTCTATACTCCCACAAGAACCCATCTTCTATATCCTGCCTTTCTGCACACATTTATATTTTCATTTAGTCGATCTCTTCACTTCCCCCTTCCACAGCTGCCTGTTCCTGACAGTGATCTGATATCCTCCATTAGCCAGCTGAACCTAGCTTGTGCCACCGCTTAAGTGGTGATGCCAGGAACTCACCCTCTGCTCAATCTTATGTGCGGCGTGAGGCACAATGATAGGCGCCTCCAGCTGTGCACTGAGCACATCTCCACGGCTGCCAATTGTGAACACAGTGCTCTTATGCTTAAGAGGCGTCTTATAAAAGAGGCCGCCGCCACGTGATGCGCCCATGTCCTCAATGCCCATAAGATCATCCTTTGTTGCTGCTTCTTCATAACATAGCTTAGAAAGTCGTGATGAATACGACTTGAAGTATGAGAAATAGATCTTACTCATTGTGTCCACGTATTCATTGCACACCTCCTGAGCTACATTTCGCTCATTTGACAATACAAATTCAAAGAAGAACCTGTAAAGAGAAAATAATTTTACTACTGTACTCCAAATCATTATTTTATAAATTCATTTTACTGTATTCTATTACCGCTTGTGATATGTTTCTATCGTTAAGGATCTGACAAATAATGTCTCTGTGCAGAAACTGGCAAGTCTGGCGAATTGGAGTATAATGGATTATGTGACTACATGATTTGGAATCATTTCTACAATTTTATTTTTAAACCAACATTAGGTAGTAGATTTCTAAAGAACACGCACAGATTAGAATGCAGACTGACTCAATGAATCTCAAACAAGGTGTCATTGTATCATAAATTGTGAACTCACTTGTACTTAAGCAGTGTGTTCTGGGGAACCTGGTAATTAGTCATGGGTTTGCGGAACTTATACACCTGCTCCATCAGGTATGCTCGAATCTTTGTGACTGCCTTTATCTTTAGTTTATCCACGACATCTTTCACATCATCACATGCCTTTGTTCCTGCAAAGCCAACAATAAACAATAAAACCAATGAGTATCTGTATCACAGCTGTTAGTAATCAGTGTATTTGTTTCATGCAGCTAGTCAGTGTTTAATTAACTACAGTTGATAGTAATGAAAATCGTCGAGAAATTTTGTGCTTCCACTGATATTGTAAGACGAAACAGAAAACATGAATTGATACAATCTGAAAAATGTATGGGATGAAACTAGTAGAACTTCTGGTAAAAAAAAGTGGTATAAATGAAGAATTTGAAAAGGGTTACCAACCTAGAACTGATGTGGTGAAAGATGAGACTTGTAGTCTGCTTGCAGACTCCCAAAGTATTTTTAAATGGTGAAGGCTTACTTCTGTTAACTATTGAAAGTACACAGGGCAAAAAATATCAGGGAGGCTGATATACATACAATTGAACCATTTGTAAATAAGCCTAGTTGTCTTGAGGTTGAGATAGATACTGAAATTCTGGAAGGGCATAAATTGTCAGACACTGTTCGAAACCTGGCAGATTTGATCGAAGCAGGAGATGTCCTCACATGTCACTGCTTATCCAAGCATGTTTACAGCCCACTGCATTGCTTCACTTACACATGACCAAAGCCGGAAGACAGAGTTTCTTTCATGTGTCAAGAACCCACTGTGTGACCACCAATGACATCACAATACTTCGTTCTATCATACCTTTAAAACTCTGCTCCTTTACAAAGTTTATCTTATGATTAAGTATCTCCAACTGAGTTAAGAACTCCTTCTCCATGACTGGGACATCCAAGATACCACTGTAAATATAAATGTAATGTTAAAATATATTGTGAATACAGAAACTAACAAATACATTTTACATTACACAATAACATGGCAATGAAAACTCACTCACTCACTCTACGGTGCAGGAAATTCTTTGAAAAGTCGATTGTATACTGATAATGATGACTATGATTGTTACAGATGTTGAAATGGGGCACTTCAGGGAAAGACAATGTTATGTCAATTTTTTCATGGATAAAGAGACACATTAAGTATATTACAAGGATACTGTGGTACAGACATGTGTAAATGTCAACAGAATTTCTATGAGGAAATAAAATATGAAGACACTGGAAAAAAACTGACTAGACACAGCAATAATGAGAGAGCATAGAAGTACTAGTCAGATAAAATAAATAGAGAATATACTTATGTCAAAACATCATCAGATAATGACAATCACAGTTCACTTTTTATAAGAAAAGGTTCACATACGAGATAAGATTCTCATTAACTGCCATATCATCAACAAACTGGCTCAGTTGACCATGAACTGCCTGGCGGTTATGTAGCTGCTGACTCATTGACACTGATTTCCTTTGTAAGTTCAATATCTCACTGCTGATGCTGCCTAAATCTGTCTTGAAGTTCAACAGCATTGACTCCATTCTCTGTAACATTTCATTAAACCTCACAGCATTGAGAGTTTATCACTCAAAAACTACTTCATGCAGAACAGTTTTTATGGTCTTCTCAGAATGCTTTAATCCTGAAATATTATGGAGTTCTGTCCCTCTCTTTCCTAATTCCACTAAAACAAACACTACTACGACGATTAACACAAACAAATGGATAAAATATTTTACAGAATTCAGAACTTCCTTGCAATTGTAGCAGAAACACAAATTTGCCAAAATATAAATGGCATTTTAATAACTTTACAAGCCTTCAGGAGTGACACTTTAAAATATGATTACCAGTTGCATCAGTTCAGTTATAAATAACTGCATTTGGGATAGCAACAGCAAAGAAAATCAAATTCAAAGGATGGGTGTAATCATTACTAAAGATTTTCCCAGCCAATTGAAATGCACATTTACTTCTTACATTGTGTAGGATTTGAGGTTTTCACAGTGGTCAGTCTGAAGATTGCTGTCTTCTGGGTTATTGTGCCGTGTAGTCTGGTGGAAATCTACAAGACTACACGGCACAATAACCCAAAAGACAGCAATCTTTTTAAATTCTATTTTTTCTCCAACCAATCATACCCACACTGCAGCAGTGAATCATTACACACCTCTAATATACTATCACAAGCAGCTATTTGGTTATGCAGACTAGCAATGTTCTGGCTTTCCTTAATATAGTCTTTGATAGATTTGTTTTCAACGTCCTTTAATTCCTTCTCTATTTGACGAGAGTACTGCCGTAAGTCTGTCCCAGTTTTCAAAACTTCTCGGACTACATCATCATCCATGTTACTCTGGAACTGTGTAGCCTCCAAACATTCACTATTAGCTTCCATGATGAACAGTTACATTTAAGAAATATGCAACTTATCACATTCAGAATCCAATTGCAGGAGGTAAAGAAATATTAAAGCGATGTTTCCAAACTGCGACACTCAATCTTCATATTTATGACATAAACACTATGATTAACCAAACTGGAAAACTCCAGTCAACAGATTATATTCAACAATGTCAATTTTAGACACCTAACCTAACCAAAAACCGTAGATCGATGGGCACATCGATACGTGCTTCGACGTAATCAATAGTCGACTACGATAGCTATCGAATTAGTGAAATATCGCGAAATGCACACGCAAGTGTATGTCTACTGTCCGCGAGGCACGTGGCCTTGTCAGCCGTTGCTTGTGTGGCATGCGCCGGTGATGTATTCCTTACCAAAGAACATTGTGCTATCAGTCAGTCAGTTTCGCTGTGTTGAAATCTCTTGCAGTTTTGTGTCAAAGACAAATTGCCAACCTCTCGTGTTTCCAAAACAGTGAGAGTATGCAGGCATCAATATTTTAAAATCAACCATGTAGTCTCACAATGTTTATAAATAAAAAGGTACAATTTAAAGAGAATGAAAAGATACTTAATTACTCACTCCTTTTACTGTTGATGAATTTCTGGTGTTTACAGATAAGTCATAATGTTCATTAAAGTTTTCTTGTCTTTATATAATATAATGGGGAATGTAATTTATCTACTGTATGTAATGGATTGATGCATTTGTAACATATCTCTAATTATGTGAACCCTTTGTTTAACTTTTATAATGGTATGAATTGTACTTGTATTGTGTATTATGAATTATTCCACATCCTGTTATCATATGACTTAACTTGTGGATACATGGAATGTAATAAAGATGGACATTGTGACCTACCATTGTAAGTTCACATTGCTAAATACCAGGTAGTGCCATTAAAGATATTCTTTCACATACAAATAAAATAAACAAAAGCTTCCAGTAATGTCTTCACATAATTCTGAGCCAGCATTTCTGTGGTGCTTTATTATATATATATTTCAGTCTTTTTTGCCAGTAATCACCTTCAGAGGCCAGCCACCAATCAAATGTATGTACATGCAAATAAAAACAGTGTGTTCAGAAACAGGATAACAGTTTTAACATACATTTATTACAGAGTAAACAACTAAATTATCATTCATTTTGTTGTTAAAGAGTTTCAAAATGTGCAATTAACTTCACAACAGTCTGATAATTGGAAAATGACAATGTCCAGTGAAATCAAAGTCTGGTGGATTTGTTGAGTCCTTCTTATGGCCACCAGCAAGGAGCTTGAGAACCACAAAGTTGGTTTTAGAAACTTTCAGAAGGTCACTCACCTGGAACAATGTAATATGTTAATTTTCTGATGATATTACATCATCCTAGAGTAAAAAATCAGAAGCACATTACTCAATACACTTCATTATTTCAAGCCAGAACATTTGTATTTTGGCAGTAATACCAGTTTCCAAGTTGACGGTGTAATAGTGGTACTGGTGCTACTAACAAAACTAGTGTGCAGACCCTATTACTAATAAACTGGAAAGAAGCCACAAACAACTGGAATGGCTGAAACTGTCATCAGTAGAAATGGTTGGTTCTGCAGTGTAAAAAGATTGTGTTAGGTGCAGATAGAGGTAATACTGTATCAGGCTAGGCAATCATTCAATTCCTGATAGGCACTGCAAAGAATCATGCAAATGGTAAAACCAATTAAAAAGTCAGAAGTAAAGATAATTTATTCTGAAAGATCGGTCATGAATGTATTTAACAGATGTTTTCAAGTTTAAAAATATCATGTTAACTTTGTCAATCAACATCATGTGCTGTAATTAGTATGAAACAGCTCAATTGACACAAACTTCTGTATTATTCCCTTCATTTCTGCATGTCTGGTCATTCCAGAAGTGTTAAGCATTCTGATTCCTTGCAGACAAATCACAGCATTACATCCACCACTCCTAGATGGCGGCTGGTAACTATACAAGGATTTAAGCTTCGGATTCATTCCCCTCTGGATTGTTCAGTCATATCAAAAATCAAATTGAGTATAAATACTCTCTGGAAACTCAATGAAATGGCAGATGGCAGCTACTGAATAACGGACACTATTCATTTGATAGTGAGCACCAAAAACAGTGCTATGTAACTGACTCAGAATAGTAGTTGTGACTAAGCCAGGGCTATCATCACAGCAACCCAGAAGACAGCCATCTTTAGACTCACCGCCATGAAAACCTCAAATCCTACTTATCATAAGTCCTCAGGTGACTAGTTACCTGGAAAATTTCTATAATTTACACTGAAGCTTAATGGGCTTAAAACACAAACTGAGTATGCAGAATGAACATTAAATTGTAGAATATTTTGTAAACGGAAAAACATCTGAATAAAGTGCATTATGATACTAAAAGTATGCAACAACCAACGCTATTTCTCTTGTTGACATAGTAGCTGTGACAGTATAAATCATGGTACTTTATTAATCTTTCAAGATACCAAATCCTAGGACAACAGAAACTGAATTACACGGACTTCGTCATAGAGAAAAACCATAAAAATTAAACTGAATTCTAGACTCACCAACACGGATGAATGATTATGAGTAAGTTGAACAAGTACTAAAATAAATGAAAAAATACCAACATGCTGAAGAAGCTCCTTCAAATGATGGAGTCCCTTGCTGAATCTAGAGCTGCATTCTTTACTCCTTGTTTTCCTTGAAGGCAATAAATTCCTCTGAAATGTATAAAATGTCTTCCAGCACAACAAAATGCTTCAGAGACATGTCAATCGGTACTGCCCTCAGAACCTAAAATCCTGCTTGCCTCAATGTTAGACCCAAAAAATTATACTAACAAGATATATGCACTTACTTCTTGATCTGGAGTGTTGATGGTTTCCAACATGGAACGAGCTTTATGAAATAGCTGGCAGCCCGCTAGGTACAGGTTTGTACTGCTAGGTGCTTTTTCGTAACGAAGGAGTGATGTCATATCTTGAAACTCGGCATACTGCATGGGTGGCGGTGTCAATAAACTTGCAAATGGAGCAAACCGGTGCTCATAACGCACCTGTTCATTGTCAAATTCAGTGTGAGGTAGCTTGATCTTCCCATCCAGTCGAAAACCTACCATTGCCTGAGAAACACATCAATCCATCAATACATAACATGTCAAGTACACATATATGCATATGGTGATCATAATATACATTCAAAGGGATGTCATATTCTCATTTAGCAATTAACCCTTCCTCAGAAGAAACTCGACATATACTATACTATGCTATCAGTTGTAGATATTCAAAACTGCATATTGACCTTACAAAGACCCTGTAAACAGAATTACACTTACCAAAACCTGTAAATGTAAACTAAGTCACAGAATTTCTATTACTGTTACCACCATTACCTGCATCTGCACTGCAATCAGCTTCTGCATCCATGACCGACAATACGAATGTTATTGAACTATGCATATCTCACAGACGCTACCTGTCATTGATGTAATAATGTGCCAATGCATTACTCCATGACCGACAATACGAATGTTATTGGACTATGCATATCTCACAGGCGCTACCTGTCGTGGATGTAATAATGTGCCAATGTATTATAACATTATGCAGCAATACAATAAAATCAACAACAATAAAATATTTACCTTATAGAATCCGCCACACAAGTTCTGCAGTGCTTGATACATAGCTATCTCTCTTCCATAAGGTCTTGTCTTCTTCTTCTTGGCCTTATTTTTCTTTGCACCACGACCTCTGTGACTCTCTGCCATGGCTTCCTGTTCCATGAGGAAAGTGTCTGCTCTTGATAAGGCAGACACCAGCCAACCATAGAGGAATTCATACAAATACCTGAATGCACATGACAATCTCGGTAATCCTGTCTTTAATAATATTTGCACTCCTACTGTGTCATGGGTATCATGGATTAATGTGGTAGGCCTACATGCATCAAAATGTTTCAAATAAAAGATATTAATTTTATGAGATCTGCATCTTATGACATGAGTCAGTTTCTGAAAAGATGGCTCATAGTCACATAGTCAACAGCCTTGAGAATGAGGGCAGAGATGGTCCTCAAAACGTCGGTGATTAATCACCATCTAACACGGCTGATAGCCCGAGAAGACTTTATTAATGAAAGCCGCCGTGAAAGCTTCACATCATACATAAGTGGTTTTAAGTTTGAAAACCATTTTCACTGAGGAATCTGACACAACTGAGACTGTAACTGCAGGTGTTCTGAATCTGGTGTAACAAGAATACTAATACCAAATCAACCTGTGTACAGTGATGAATGGGACTTGCATTGAATTGAATTTTCTTAATAAGACAGGTAAACTTTCACAGTTTAACAACTGCATAATGATTTTATGGACATATGAGAAGAAAGCCACACTCACCAAAATATGTAGTGGTATTCATGCATGCTGTAGAGTTCCAGCTCAAAGCCAGACAGCAAGTACATTATCATGATCCTCAATGTATGATACAATATCCACGTACCAAAGCAGGCAAGATGTGGGCGGGGAGAGTCTGACTTCAGAGACAGATTATGCAAATATGCATCCACCCGTTCAGCCTGCATTCACAAATAAGACTGCATTAATTTATTCCTGAAATATCTCTCTCTCCCTCCTGTCTCATTTCCATTTTCAATTAAAAATAATTATTTACATTCCTTTCCTTTTAATGTAATTATGAGAACTGATATCTTGGAGACATAAATATAAATCAGAATAAGCTGTATATTCATACCTCATCTTGCAATGTGGCAAAGTCTTCCAGCAGGTGTGCCAGTTTGTCCCTCTGTCTTGCTCGATTATGCCCACATAACTGCACAAGACTGGCAAATGGTCGAACACAATGATTAAGAAACGTTTCCACATATTCCTTTGCCTGAAACAGAAACTACAGTTACCACACATATATGGTACCCTAATGCACCAGATAAACAGGTTGTGAGGTATCATAAGAAACTAGTGTTGGTTGCGCAGTACCAATATTGTGGGATGGCATGGGTGATTCAAGTTTAGTTCCGCTGCTGGGCTTGAACTGTGCGTCGTGCAGACACAGTTCTGCTCAGAAAACATCACATAGTTTAATTGCCTGATGACAGAAAAGTTGCCCTAGTGCAGTTAGAGTCAGGAAATCATTTTCACTGAGCACCCATTCATGAAATAGGGAGCAGGACTACAAACAAGAGAATAACAACTGTAAGTATGGGTGTCATAAGGCAGCATGCAAAGAATTGTGATGGTGGCTGGAAAGAATGGAGACAGTCAAGAACAGTTTCTATCATCTCACAGTAACACACCATGCTCTGCTGCAGCTAATGGGAGAGAACAATCGCACTGATACCAACAACTTGCTGTGGCTCAGGCTAGTAGGGCTTCAACCACCCCTCCTGCTGTCACCACTTTGATGCATCCTTTGCCAGGGGGCTATATATCGCTGACTGCCACCACTTTGATGTGCCATGGCCAATCAGTAAGACCTGAACTACGCTGCCTCCATCCCTACTGTCAGTCATGGGTCTATGCCACATTCCCTATTTTCCACCATCAGGGAAGGGAAACCCTAATAAAAGATCACACACATGGATGAATTGAAAACAATACACTGTGTTCTCAACTGAAAAGATTCTGGCAGCAACAAACTTTTTTTGTGGGGGGGGGGGGGGGGGGGGTTGCATACAGAAACACACACACACTCACCAACTGCAGGCACATACAAAAACAATCTGCTCTGTCATGTCTTGAAATAAAAACAAACTAGAGGAAGACAATATTTCAGTAATGATGATATTTTTGGCATGCCAGTTCTCTGTAAGTGTACATCTTACACTTTGTTATGTGTTGTGAATATAACCATCCCCGTATCTACTTTCTTCTTCTGTATTCTGTGGTGGGATTGTGATTGCAGCTAGGGGATGTCATGGCAGAGGTCTGCACAGATCAAAATTTCAGAATTGCACCTGGCTTGAGGGACATCTGGCCCAAGCCTGAAGTTTATCTTAAAATTTGTTGTCCATAGTTCACCTAAGGCCAACTTACTTTCATTTCAGCCAAAACAAAGCTTGTTATATTTACAATATATATATTCAAGAAATTAAGACAAAGAATATCCTACTGTAAATAAAAATATTTGCACAAAGTCCTAAATTTACTCTTATTATTCTGCTTAATACTATGTCTAAGAACTACTTAACTGGTACAGAACAGACTTTATGCATTCACATAAAATTATTCCTTTACCTGAGTATTGTTCAGCAATGTTGACTTTGGCATTAAAGCTGGTGGAAATATGAAGTTCTTAGCTGCATCTCTTAGTACATCCACAAAATTAAAAGTGCCAAATACTCTATTGCACTGGGGGAGATACAGCAACTGCAGTATGGAGCGGGACAGAATGCATGGGCCATGCTGACTGAACTCAATGAAGAAATCCTACAACAAATACAAGAAAATAATTTGTATGTGTTTTGATGTAAAAATATTGATAGAGACAGAGAATAAATTTAGAACTGTGCGTGTTACAATAACAAAATTAAATATCAACTCTCTGAAAGAAGGATTGATAGATTTGTAACTGTATAAACTTAAATAGTTCAAAAAATTACGCTGTGAACATTACCCTAAGAACAAATGCTGTCCACTATAGGAAATTCTGATTGACCTTGGGTTTACCTGGAAGTGATCTTTAAAAAAGAATAATTGTTGTCACACCTCCAAACTTGCAATCTTCTTCAAATCTGACAACAAAGAGTAGTAGAAGTTGACGAACGAAAGTGCTGGTTTCAGCAAGATACAGCAAATTTAATAATGAAGATATCAAGCAAGTTCAATGAAGGTCAAATTATTTCTCAAAACTTGAGGCCTCTCTTGATCCCCAGATCTCCTACCACTGGGTTTTTAAAGGACAACGAGTTCAAAAACAACCCACACACATTATAAATGAACAAAATTCCTATGAACATGTCAGATGAATGATGACTGGAAACGCCAAGGATCAACAGAGGAAGAATATAAAAAGAAGGCAGAGAAAGAATGGACAGACAGAGAAGATGAAATGACAGTGATGGATGAAGAATGATCAGTCACCATTCAGTTTAATATATCGACAGACGATGAGGACAGGAAGTGAACTTACCAGTGCACTATGAAATGAACTGTGACTTGTAATTCTACACACAACTTTCAATCTGTTCAGCAGTTCTTCAAAATACTCCAGTGCTTCAACGCGAGACTTAATTTTTGTATACCGAGGAAATGTTGGTGGAAGTAACCGCTGATTAACAAGTGGATCAAATCCCATTATGGCTGGGTGGTCAGCTGAAAACAGAGTACACAAATGGCTTATACCGCAGTGAGCTGCATAAAATACTTTCATGATAAACAGACAGTTAAATGAAGTGTCATGTAAAACAGAACCTAATATGTCATAAATATAACGACAAAACTCTGATGTTAATTATAAGCCAGTTGCATCTATGCTGATGTCGCAGAAAGAAGTCCCATGGGTAGTGAGAAAATAGTAACTGAGGCTTTCGCCACTCTGCCTACCATTGTTTTCTCCTCTGGCCTATTTCAGCTAGCCGAAAGCTTTGCCAACACTTCTGTGAACAGAATGGCTAGATGATAGGTGCACATGCTCGAGGGGTGAAGCATAACAGATCAAGTAAGATGTATATCCACAGAACTTCTTTCTGTGGTCTCAGTACAGTCACAGAGCAGCAAATATTTAATGAGCTGCACCATTAATGAATCTGAAGCTGCATCATCATCACCACAATCATTTATCCAAAGCCAATTCAATCTTCAAATCTTTACGTATAATTTTTCCAAGATTCAGTTTTATATTATCCTTGTGTTTAAGTGCAAGTCTCCAAAAAAGTTCTCTTCCAATGACATCCGCAAATAAAAAATTCCATGAGCATTTATAGTTTCTTCCATCAAATTAATGTCTTAGCAACATTTTTTGTTCTGTTTTACCCACCCCCAGAATTGTAGGTAAAGTAGTACAAACTATGATGTCTGCTATTGTTAAATTATTTTCAATCCTTACGAGCATGAACGAGATGTTTCATAAGCAAAATTCAGCAGCCATTTCTCACCCAAGATTCTCCTGATTCACTGCTCGATGGCTCTGGCAGTCAAATCAGGATTGAGTAGAAATTATGCAGAGTCAGTGGGCTGGTCACTCACTACTCACAAATGCACGCTTAAAAGACAAACAAACCTCTGAAAAGGAGGTGGCGAAGACCCACAATGGGTTGTAGGGCCAAGGAACAACAACAACAATGGTTAAAAGCAGTTATCTTTAGTGTTCATTTTACTCCTTATTGATAAATTCATTGAATGGATGAAATATCTGGGGTTATCTACGCTAAACATCATAGTTCATGACAGAAAAAAAACTGCTGAAAAATATGTACACTTACAACTTAACATTTACATGTTACATTAAGGAACTTTATTCACTGCAAGGTTTGTAGAAAAACTTAGGTTTGTAGAGCTTCTTGGGAAGCCCATATGATTTATTATTACACGGAGAAAATAAACGCTGAAAGTACATAAATATTTAAAGAAAAATGGGGCAGTAAGATAAAAGGAAATATCAGAATTACTTCAATGTATATCCTCTGTTGTAGACCTTGAAGATAAAAAAATTGTCTCCTGTGTTTTGGAGCTTACTAACCAAACTGTTTCTAATTTACATGTTCATTAACAATTATCCTTTCAGAATCTTTTACCACTGCAAGAGAAACTGAAGAAACATAAATTTAATCCTAATCATACATTAATTACATTTCGTGAAACATACATATAACATTAAAACTGTCTCTAATACAGACTGAAAAACAGATGTTAAATGAATATGGGAATTTTATAAACACAGAGTTAGTGTGACACACTTACATTCTACTTCAGGCTGAAGTCCTCTGCCTACAGTCTTTTGCATGGTGACCATCAGCTCAGAGCAACCAGCCAATAGTCTGTGACAGTCACCTAGACCCACCGGTTCCCGGCGACCAAGACACACCAATGCCTGATACAGTAGCCTCATGAACTTTATGCGTGAGTACAGTGCCACCACATCTTCATGCTGTAACAAGAAATGTACCAGATCTTATAATTTGTTTACTTGCCAACTGTGTTCTTCTTGACTATAATGGTGTAGTCTTCTAGTTGGTTAACAATATTCTGCGTGGTGTTGCCTCTCTCTTCAGCATTGACAATGGTAATCATGTGGTAAAGGTGAACAGATACGGTAAACCTGAATATGCGCATGATGTGGTAGGTGTTCAGCATACAAAGGGTGTCAGAAAAGAAGACAAAAAACATCACAAAAATGATACAGATTATAAAAATGGTAGATGGTAAGATGACAGAAAGGAAAACTTGACAGCCCAACTCGTATCCCCCCCCCCCAATCAGGACATGGACCAACTTACCTTGATAGGTCGAGAACCCTGAGATTTTAATATTCTTCTGCTGATATGAAGAGGCCAAGCAGCACACAATGACAGAATTCACAGAGCATCCAGACACAAAAAAGGGTAGAAAGTAGCACGCCTCACCTAGGTAAAAATACAGGTAACCCTCAATTTGCACCAATTCAGAATAACGCTGCTTTTGAAACCAGCAGGTCAAAAAGTGAAAAAAATATATTCTACTATTATTTATAACTTTAACGTTATAATCTCCTAAAAATCCGCCAACACTGCGCAACAGTCACGTGAGCATTGGTCATTCTGATAAGGGAGTAAGAAAAAATACGCTCAGTTCGCTTCTGTGTGCAACATTCCCTTGACTTAAATTGCTATCAAAGATAAGGCGAAGTCAATTTTTGAGGAACTTAAGATAAAAGAGGATAGTAAAGAGACATTCTTAGGAAGCAAGGGCTGGTTTATGCAATTCAAATTTCGCACTAAATGTCGCAGTGTGAAAATAAGTGGCGAAGCATTAAGTGCAGAGGCAGCTGCAGCGTATCCTGCAGAGTTTCAGGCCATTGTGGAGGAGGGTGATTATCCTCCTGATCATATTTTTAATGTTGATGAGACAGGCCTGTATTGGAATAAACTGCCTTCACGAACTTTCATCGCCCGTGAGGAGAAGTCTGCGTCAGGTTTTACGGCTGCAAAAGACAGGGTAACGCTTTTGATGGGTGCCAATGTCTCTGGCACTTTAAAATTAAAGCCAATGTTAGTGTACCATTCAGAGACACCTCGCACTTTCAAAGGCCTCAACAAAGCCAGGTTTCCAGTCTACTGGAAGTCAAATAGAATGGCTTGGGTGACACAACAAGTCTTCTTGGATTGGTACATCAACTATTTTTGCCCAACTGTGCTCCGTTTTTGTCATGAGAATGACTTGCCAACCAAGGCCCTTCCTCTCTTGGACAATGCCCCTGGCCATCCAACAAACCTAGCCTCTGGATGTCAACGTCGTTTTCCTGCCTCCTAACACCACTTCAGCTTTACAACCAATGGGTAATAGCGACCTTTAAAGCCTATTATCTCCGCAACACCTTAAAAGAAATGCTGAGAGTTTTGGAAAGTTCAGAAAAAAACCGTAAAGGATTAATGGTGCTCATTCGACATTTTGAGGGGCATTAATAACATCAACGCAGCCTGGGAGGATGTATCAGTAAATTGTTTGAATGGAATGTGGGGCATTATATTATATTACTAGTCAATGTTTGGGTTCTGGGAACGCATGTCATTGACTTCCCATTGATTTACATTATATAAAGAGTTTCAATTTACGCCGGTTCGTCCAGGAACGCATCCCGGGCGTAAATCGAGGGTTACCTGTATTCGTATTTTCTCAACTTGAAATTTTCATAATTAATGGCCTAGTCTGTCCAGAAATGATTCTGATTATTTTAATCATTGCAAAAGGTAGTCAAATAATTACAACATATTCATTATCTGTACAAAATTGTTTCCACCTGATCTTAACAATAAAGGAGAACAGAAAATTAAGTTATCAACAAGTTAACAAACTGAAACTGGCATCAATCTGCTCAGAAAAGTCTTTGAAAAATATTGTTTCCTCATAATACTTAAAATTAAAAAGAAATGAGAATTATCTAATTACACAAAATCTTCTGTACACATTCAAAAGTCATGATCATAAACATGACAAAAATATGCTAACTTTAGTTAATATGAGGGTGGTTCAAGGTTGAGCTGCATTTTCTCTTTAAAAAAATATGTTTGTACCAGAACAATAAAATACTTGTTGTGGCAGAGGATGGCAACACTGTCCTCACTCCCACATACATAGCCATACTCTTCATGTTTTTGTATTAGAACCAGTGCAAAACAGCATCAGACACTGTCCCTCCAAATGTAGAACAGCAATGTTATCAAATTTCTGGTGAATGAGAAAGCAATTCTGAAGTAAAACAGTTTACCCACATCTCATCACAAGTCAATAATCATTTCTAAAATGTGTTCCCCTCCAATACAACCCTATCCAGATGGCCGGCAGACATGGAAACATGTTGTGCCTTCTAGTCAAACATCAACATCTCTGGGACCCACCATGTGCACACTTTCTTCACCAGTGAGTGTGTACAAATAATTGTCTCTACATGCCCAACAATTACGCACACTGCACACTGTGGCTGAAAATCACGTATTTTAATTCATTTGTTTTCCAAAATCACTGCCTCAACATCATGAATGTCCACATCTGTGACAGATGTCGGCCGCACGTGGCCATGTGACTGATCAGTGACCTGTTCATGGCCTTCATAAAATCTAAAACACCAATCATGCATACTTGCATGCGATGAGGTATCTTCCCCATAATGCGCACTTAACCTGCAGAGAATTTCACCAGTTTCACTTAATCTTTCACCAGAAATTTGATGACACAGTGCTGTTCTGCACTCGGTGTGACAGACCCAGGCAGCAGTTTGTACTGCTTTTAATGTGAAGACGCCAAAGGTTTGGTTATGTGTTGGAGTAAGAGCAGTGTTGCCACCATCTGCCAATAAGGGTATTTTGTCATTCTAGTGAAGACAAATTTTGTAAAAAGAAAAGGCCAGGGCAGCCCCCATACTAATATTTTACTGCAAATTACTATGAGTAAGTCATCTATAAATTTTTTATACATACATTCAAGTCGGAAGAATTCATAACAGCAAGCCATTTTATTGTAAACAAAAGATTAAATGTTACTGTTTGGTAATATATGTATTACCTAAGTTATACAAAAGTCTGGTGAAATACTGTGTCACAGCATTAGCTTCAAGAATCACACAACTCATAACTTTGTAAGTATGAGAAAGAATGATTCAAAGAGTTTGGCAATGACTGAGAAGCAGCTGTTTACCTCATCAATTGAACACAAATCTGATGGTTTGCTGCGTGTCCGGCGATGCAGTTCCTCCTCCACCTCCTTTAACATGCCTATGGTGCGAGGTTCAGACACATCTGGTACTAGACGATAGCCATACACCATGGGTTGAAAATCTTCCTCTTCAAATACTAAGGCCCTGCACAAAATTGCATTATGTATTAGAATTATACTTCACAATACACTATATGTAATTGCCTACATACTGGGGATCGGGTGTCCCAACTGAGGCATTCTGTGGTTTCCCTCAAATCCTCCATGCAAATGCCAGGACATCACTTAAAATTAGGCCATGATAGCTTCCTCCCACATTTTTTCCAATTCACTGTACCAATCCATTAATCATTCTACACTACATAGTGTGAGCTACTGACAATGTTCTTAAATAAATAAAATAGAAAAATATATTGCCTAGGTGTTAAACAATTAATCAGAATGAAAGGATTTATTGAGCTGCAGACACTCTTAATATGCATGAGTGGAAAATTTTCTGACTGCATGATATAACTAAATAAGTGCTTGACTTTGGTGCACACAATTTTGTCCAAACTTATGTGAAAAGCAATATGTTACTTGTTGAGGCTTACAGCTGAGAATTGATGAATCAAATCTGTTGTTCTGGATCCTATGAACTTTGATTAGATAGCTTAAAAATCAGAAGTTTAGCTGATACAGCAAGGCAAAACTTTATTCATTAAATCAATGATATCAAAGAGTTTACTTCGATTCTGATTCTGAAAAATAATGTACCGTGAATGCTGCCAATGCTAAATGTACACAAGACATTAGAACACAGTGACAATACTGTAGCAACAAAGACGTGGCATAATGAAAAAGTAAAAACAGTGATACAGTAATAAAATCTTCTTGGGCTATCAGCTGTGTCAAATTGTTCAAACTTGCTGATGGTTCAAGGACCGTCTGTCCTCACAATCAGGAATATTCATGAATAGGGTGAGGGCAGAGATGGTCCTCAAAATGTTGGCAAGTTTCAATCATTTGACATGGCTGATATCCTGAGATTTTATTGACCGTGGCCTTGGAAGCTTCACAAAAAACAGTCACACAGCAGTTGCTTCATGTTCCTGATCCTACACTAAATCACATTTTGCACCTCACCATATTATGTCGTATGAAATGAGGTTCATCATCATATGACCACTTTTTGACTAAGTTAATAGATAAACTCTTTAAAATATTTTACTGACTTTGTAGCAGGAAGGTTATCATTCGTGCTTTGTAATCAGGAGGTCTCAAATTAAAATCTTGACTGAGAATTTCATTGTGTTCCTCAACCATTTCAGGCAAACAATGGGACCTATGACCACTTCCTTCCATCTCCTTTCAAACACATCTTTCACAAATTTTCCTCTTCACCACTACACAGAACACAATGAAAATTAAGCTGATACTATGAGCATGGATTATAACAAGTTATACAACATCATAAGCATTATTGGATATGTAACAAATTTCCAGTTCACATTTTACCATCCTGTACCAAATCAGGCCATAAATGGTACATGATTTTGGAAGTATATCCCAAAAAGCAAAAAAGTATTTGGAATAAAATTTTAGAGGCATTGAAGTAGATTATCCACACATGATATGACAGTTTGCCTAGAGAAACAACACCCAAATACTGTTGCAGATAAGAAATGAAAGAGCACCAACTGACAACATATGTAGAGGGTGTTGGTCACACATTGTTTATAGATACACTTATTTTAACTGGCTCTCTTCAAATCTACATAACAGGAAAAGAAAGATTTCATGTTGAATGACTTTTATATTAAATGCACAAATTATTAAATAAAGTACACTGATGTGTTCAAGAATCGAAGCATGACACTACAGAAAGCAAAGATTGGACTAGAGTACACTGTTTTAAATCCTGGCATATAATATCACTGCAGATCTACCATTTGACTGCTTTTTACTTGAATCCAAAATTTAACATAAAGAACATTATTTTACCAAACAGTGACCAAATGATTCTCCTTCATAGTCATGAGGTCTCAGGTTCAAAAACTGAGACCAGAGGGTGACTGTCATTAATGAAGTACTTCTATGGCCTTCAATACTTGTTCCAGGTGCAGTCCTTGAAGATGAGGCCTTCAATAACAAATCAAGGTTGTCTGCCATTCTGAGAATCAGTCAGAATTCAAATAGTAGCAGCACTGGAACTACAGGCATTTCAACTGCGACTGAAAATCATCCCTGCTTACTAGTTAAGAAATATTTTAGAAGTATGATAAAAGGTTCAATAAAACAGTTATGCTATGCTGAAGATGTCATGGATCATAAAATGGCTAAACTCATGTCATGGCCCAGTTTCCCCAACATTAATGTAAAAATGGAAGTCACTCATGGAGATGTTAAGAACACAGCCTGCTGTCACAAGTTACAATAAATAGATACAAGGTACTAACGAGGCAGGCCTTGACACACAGATGTTGATGATTGTCATAGAATACACAATATTTAAAGTGACTAGGCAACAGCCAAAGAATGTAAAAAATGAATACAAACATGAAGTTGGAAAGATGTAAATAAAAGCAGCTGGAACTGATAAAACAAAAACAAAAATCAACTGGGATGCTTTTGCCAAAAGCTGGCTTAAATATTATACTGCTATAGAATTTGATGCATACAGACCAAACGAAATTTGGAAACCACGCCCACCTCCTGGGCCACAGTAACCTAACTGCAGTCTTACCTGGTTGTCTCTCACTGGCCTGATGCTCTCCCTCCCAAGCAAAACATAGAATTTAGCCTTTGCAGCAGGCTGACACAACTTTTACATCTTTCAGCCAAATTTTGAAGCATTTAGCAACAAATACTGCCTTGAGGACAACCTTCTTCCAAGTTGTCGGAGATCCCTCAAGAAAGATATTCAGACCAGGCAGATTTAATGTAATTTCATGATGCAGGCTTTCAGATAATGCAATGCAACAAAACTTCTGTTTTAATGACAAAACATTCACTGTGTAGTAAATCTTCCATGCAAGTATATCACGTACATAACACACAGAAGGTGTAAATGCTCATATGAAAATTATATAACATAAAATTATTCATACTGTGTTTTAAATGTCAAATTACATTGTGTAAAAATGTTCACGATAATTTCTTAATGATCATGATAGCATGAACATTAATTTATAATTATACTGATAAGTCTACAAGCCTTGATGTTAACATTAACTAACTCCTTAAAATAATTATAAATGAGATCGTCAGCGGGCTGCAGAGGACACTGAGTTACTTTTCCTGCCTCTATGATAAAAGCGAAAAGGCCAGATTAAACTGTGCTGTGCATGTGGTAAACCTGTTTCCACAGAAAGGTATCTTTGTAGAACCATCACACACACAAACATTATAACAGTAACACAAGATTATAATATCAAAGCAACACATTTCAAACCTTCAGAACTATTTTCAGGCTTGTCACAATATTGCAAGATTGGTTACTTTGTTACAGTTGCTAATTGTAATGGCATTGCATGTATAAACCTATGTTCTAATGTCGCAATTTAAAATAGTTACAGTAGATGGATATAAAATGTATCCAATTTAAAATATTCTTTTAAAAAAGCAGTATTATTTATACTATTCATGTGGCATGTTTTTTAAACACAGAAGCAGCAGTAGCATATGTACATTCATTACATTTGGTAGTATTATCAAAGACCAGGTTTTTAGCTCTCCAAGGTTCCTGGAGAATGGCACTGAGAAAGCATGGCCAAATTGAAGTTGAATAGAGTCGAATAACCTGGAAAATCCAGGAAAAAGAATATTTCTCCTCTCTAATGTAATTAAAGTCTATCAGTCTCAATACTACAATGGGCACCATTACTAATGTTTTGTAATGGATAATCAATCTTTCCTTTAGATTATAGTAGCATGTGCTGAAATTTGTGGTAGGAGTACCTGGTTGGGAGGATGAACAGTTTGTCTGTTCATATTTGTGGTATATTTCTACAAGGTACTACTGCAACCAATCAGCGTACGATCAAAACAATTTGTTTGCTCAAGCCATCTAAGCTAATTACTTAATTATATACAAACAAACACAATTTTCAATCACGAATTATTAGTTACACAATAAAATCAGTAAAGCCTCCCACTTACAAATGCTATTCATTTAACCAACTCTCCACACTGTTAAGGATAATTCAGATGTAATTTATTCTGAGAATTTCAGTTGCTCAATAAACTCACTTGTAATTATGTCATGCTGATCCTTAGCAGGTACAACACTGCAAACTGGCATGCTTAGCCACCATTATGTCATGCATTATTACCATATGTTTAACCCATGATGTATGTGAGTTTTTGTCATACATCCTCTTCCCACAGGTCATGCACATATACAATCTTGTTCAAACAAGTGCTAAATTATCATTATCGAAATATCCACTTGCCCAAATGACCACTTCAAACAACGATTTAATTAAATGCTGATCACAAGAAAGCTAAATGAATTCATTTAGCAATACAAAGTATGCACAAAATATCTAGTCAGGTGAAACTGACATGAATTACTTCAAGTTAATGACTTAGTGACTCACTCACATGGCCAGTCCCACTAAAATGCCGTTACCTTCGGTTTCATCCATTTTATATTACAAAATATAATGAATACGCAGGCCAACAAACGAAAACATTGCAAAAACAGTCACTTTTAGCAACAAATGTTACAAATATGAGATCTATGGTTTTCAGTGGTGGTGATGATAAAAACCTTGTTCTTTTGGGTATGGTGAAAACTTGCATTCACTACCATCTGATGAAAATGCAGGCTGTGCTCTGTGATTGATAGTCTTCTACAAGAACTAAAATTCCTTTGCCACAACTTCCAGAGCAATGATTACAACAAACAACTGATGACCCAATTTCTGAAATGGTTAAGACTAACTACACTAACGCACAGTTCCTGTGTTACAACAATAATAGTCTGCTGTGTGAGATGAAAGTGACATAATACCTTCCTAGAAGCCCCACAACAGGATGCTGGAATATAGCATGAAAAATAGCTTTATACTAGTCAATGCAGTTGGAAGAAAGGTTCAAGTCACACATAAGTTAATGATTTCATCTACAACTCTAACAACACTGTAGAC